ATGTAAATTTCTTATGTCTGACTGGCGTATTAAATTGTTATTTAAATGTGTGTGCATGTAGCTCTAATTTGATTAATGATTTAAAATACACTGGAATAATATTATTATTCCGGACATGAGCATCATCTCCTGCCACGTGACCGGTGGGGGGGGGGGGGCGGTTAAAATTGTCTCAAAATCGATCACGTGATTTATGGACGCTCCCTAACAAGTGCAGACCGACAGACAGACGAATAAACCCAGACAGACAGTCTTCACATAAAGTAAGTGACTGAATCTACTTATCAAAATTATTATATCAATTGTACTTAATTCAACCGTTTTTCGGATATATACATATGCATACGTACACTCTAAATAAATTTGATTAAACTTTACTCAATTTTGAGTAAAATTTACCCTGACAGAGGTAAAATTTACTCAAGGTGGAAAAATTTTTGCTCAACTTTGACTAAATTTTACCTTTGTCAGGATAAATTTTGCTCAACAATTGCTTTGGTGGCAATTTTACTCAACTTTATTTACAGTGTAGTTTAAGTTCAAGTTTGGCATACATATTTTGGAAATAAGAATTTATTTCCAAAAAATAATTAAAAATATCTCAAAAAGTACACAAATTGTACATATGTAAGTAAATCAGAACCAAAAAATTAAACGTGTTATGAATAATCCCACCCATTTTGTACTCACAATATCTTCGCCAGGATCAAGAACACACTCGAGACCGATAATTTCGCAATTTGACAAGTTTGTGAAAACCACGAGAAATATTGCCACAACGAAAATCGACTTCATTTTTTTAAATCCAACAGATTAAAAAAATTACCCTGACCTGGACAATGTTTAATATTGATTTGTCTCAATTGGCTCGATATCAGGGCCGTTTTTATAGCAATTGTCTGCATGCCACTCACCTCGTCTAGCCCACTTACGTATGTAGATAATTTTATGACAATGGCACCAGTCACAAGCGAAAAGCTTGTGACTGGTGCCATTCACTAGTCAATAATTGCACAATCAAAGTCCAAACACTCAATCACAGTTTTGTTGCACGTAGCTGGGCAGCAAAGCTTCACGACTTGTCACTCTCAGATTTCGACGACATTCGAAAATCATCCTGCAGGGAAATCCTGCAGGACTTTGGGTGTAGTTAAATAAGTATGTTGATTTGAAGGAAATGGTGCATCACAATCTAACGCTTGGGCGGTAAGACATATATAACAAAATTAACAATATCTTGTATGTATTGTGGGCTGAAATTGCGTTACAACTTGAGGCATGACGCAGAAAGAAATACAATTCTCCCTTATTAAGTGAACACTAAAAACTGGACACCACTTCAATTTCATTATTGTTATATATTAATACTTTTGGCCGTTGACCTCAGCGGCGTGACCTTTCTACCTACAGAGCCCTTAATCGAAACCAAGCTCGTACTAAAAAATTATAAGCCCATGTTTTTCTGCAGTCCGAGTGTCGTAATTCTCATCCTTTTTAACGTTCTCGTTGATGCAGAGAGGCAGACAGGAAATTGATGATTATTTCGCAAACATAATTTGTTTTGTTGATGACTACAACAATGCTCATTCAGAATTTTAAATTTTAAAAATACTAAAAATTTCGAAAAAATTGAGTTTGATATTGGATTGAAGAAAGCAACTATCTGGGAGTATAATGGTGAAAGAAATTTCAAAATCCGAGTAAAATTGGATTTTTGGCGTGGATTTGAGTGAGTGAAAACTGGGGTGAAAGCGTTTTTTGGACATTTTTGAGTGGGTGTGGCGGGCGCAAATGTGGCCATGGAGTCAAACTACTTCAGGGTTTTAGTACACTCATGGGTCCCTACCACATATCCAAAGGGCACCAATATCTGTTATTATCAACCTCGCAAGCTCCCCTCCTTAGTATATGACCCTCAGTATATCGGATCTCCCACCAATGAAGTATTCCCGATTCTTGCAGCCCATAAAAACTAGGAGTTAAGATTTTGCCAAGCATACTACTACTTGCGACATACAAAGTTCTTTTGGTATAGATACCCGTACTTCGGTAGGAAATCGAGAAATACACGTTATTGAATGTTAGAATCTTAATTAGGGCATTGCACGAATCTTCTCGATCCATTACTACAAAGATTTTAGGAAGGGCTAGGTACCCATTTTGAGTTTTAATTATATGGCTGTTGCTAATATTAAGTGTGAAATCATACCACGAGGAAAGCAATAGGTTTGCACGGTCAAGGATTCTTTTAAGGATATTGTAAATATTTGAATTATTAGGAGTCACCATTAGCCGGTTCTTAAGTTCATTCGTGAGAAACGAGTTGAGTCGTTTTATCCGTTTTTCAGACATATCCATTCCTGACCCTGTAGTTACAATTGGTACGGAACTAAATGCGATGCTCTGCAAATTGTTTCTGTGTGGCAAAGTCTTGGTGGTTAGCTGTGACGTACAGGTTCCGCGAGATAGGTTTCCAACATTCATCGAAAGAACTGTGCAACAGAGAATAATAATTCGAATGATCGAAACCCTTTTCCCTCCGGAGCATTGTCTTATATACACTGACTGATCCATTAAGTATCTCAGCAGAACAAAAGAAACGTACCAGATGCGACTGTTCTCTGATGCGATAAGATTTAGCAGCACATTTAAGCAGAATAGTAGCAGAAAGAGACAAATCCAAGTTTTAGAATCGAACGAACTTAACAAAGCGAAGCCGTTAGCTTCCTGTTTTTTACTGAACACAACAGTTCTTAAATCCTGATAATGCCCAGCAGGAGTAATGATTTGCTTTGGTTGGAGGAACAAATTGTCTGAGTGGGCTTCATGTAAAAGGCCGTCTGTTACACGTACGTATACTAACAAGGGACACTCACGACCTGTCGTTTGAGTCCAGGGTACCCACTATGTTTTTTAGAATCTACTAGGACCCCATATGAAGGATTCATTCATATTTCCGTGTAAAACTCATATTTGGCGTCGTGCCGTGGCGCCAAATTCAACAAATTTGAATGTTTTTATTTTTGAAACCGCCATAACTTTTGAACTCCTGGACGGATTTTCAAAATATTTGGCAAAAATCATGACAAGGAGTTCAACTTTCTTATTCCATGAATTTTTTTCCAAAATTATTGCTTTCAACTTTTCGCAAAATTTCGTAATTTTCTTCGAAATGGGGGTTCGTCGAAAAAATCCTAAAAATATTGCAAAAATTAGAAATTTTTTATTTTTATTTTTTTTGTCAAAAATTTCGACTTTTGTGATCATTTTAAGCTTAAAATTTTGAAAATCCGACATAAACTGCAAAAGTTATGAGGGTTTGAAGTTGGTCGAAAATGCAAATTTTTAAGTTTGGCGCCACGCAATGGCGCCAAATATGAGTTTTACACGGAAATATGAATGGATCCTTCATCTGGGGTCCTAGTAGATTCAAAAAAACATAGTGGGTACCCTGGACTCAAACGACAGGTCGTGAGTGTCCCTTGTAAGCTCGCAGTAGTTTTATTACCTTTGGATACGATTGTGAAGTTAAATTTACGACTCAATGTCGTCATTACACATTCGAAAGGAGAGGGAGAGCCCTTTATTTTGTAAATCCCACATATTTTGTTGTATAGTTCTAATTTCTCCTTTGCAAATTTACTTATTCGGCTAACGGCGATCTGGCCATTATAAGTGTTTCTAATTTTCTTGAGCCGTACATCTAAATTTTGTTTATTGCTGGCTCGTTTATAGATATAGTCCATATCCAATTTCAAAGTCTTTGTGCTTTTTTCATTGAGCACCAGTTCAAAATAAGATTTTGGGAGCAGCATAGTCATGGTATTTCCCCTAATATACATTTCAAATATATTAGCTGCAAAATTACTTAATGTGTAATCGAATCGACTTTTTGTGGGTAGGGGAAAGTCGGAAGCTGCAGGGATTCCTACACGGAGAAACACATGCTGAGGTTGTAGATTTATGACCATTAACTGAAGCAGACTATTAACGCTATTCGACATATCCGTTTCCTCCCCTTCTTGCAAGTCAATGAATCCAATTCGGCAGACATCCTTTGAATTTACAGACCAAATATTTCGTTTCTCATGTAATAAATTTATCTCGATTGTTTCGTCGTTCCTAGCCTGAGAGACTAACCGTACGTAAGTTTTGATATCCTTAACTGACTTTGGAAAAATGAGGCGTTCGTCCACAATCCAGAAACCTGGATCGTGATACAGGTAAGTTCTGCTTGTAAAAACTTCTAACGTGCAACTAGAAAATAACTGAAGGAAACTATTAAACGTTCTAAGTTCTTGAGACGAGTGCAGAATTGTAAAGAATATTGCAAATAACTTTGATGACATTATGAGAGATTAATTTTTGCTATTATATTTCTGTTTTGCTATTTCACCAGAGTAAAATGTACGAAAGGGACTTTGTTAACGCGAATCCGTTCAACTATTCCCTTGTGTGTTGCTACATATAGGTGTAAGCTGCTTCGGAAATGCCACGTCAATCAGAAATTCCACATTTTCTTACCAAAACATCATTAGTTGACATAAACATGTTATGTACCCACACCATCCATGAATTAAGGGGCTCAATTTTTAGAGACTCATTAATATATATGGCTTGAATTTAAAGTGGCGAAGATAATAACTCTGTAAAAGACAATCAACACGGAATGGTGTGTAATTTTCTATACCCATAAAATAAAGCCTAAATTGTAGTTCGTTCTTATTTGGCGACAGCTCTATATGTTTTTCGTATCCGGTGTTTAAATACGTTTTGCTTCAAGACTTTAGTAAATAAAGACTCGTGCTGAAGTTATTGCGTGCCATGGAAAATTTTGGGAAACGAACATGAATTAAAGGCTTCATTTAACGTTTAGCACAGCAGATCATAAATAGACCCTTTGGATAAAAACGTGGACCAGGGTGCCCAAAAAAGTGCAAGCGATCCATTGTTGTTGACTGATTTTGTATTAATTTATGAACTAATTACGCCAAATTAAATGAAATTAAATGATTCTTTATTACTTCAAATTGTGTTCAAATTACAGATTGCCCCTTTAAGCCCATTCAAAATCGAATCCTGTGGTCGTAAAGACATCATCACTTTCAAAAGTAACCAACCCTAGACCAGACTGGAAAGTGGTCGTTGGCGGTAGCGATGATCCGCAATGTCTGAAAGTATTCAAATTCATTATATTTGCTTCACGCAATGTTCAACATCATACACATCAAAACAAAATCTCAAACAATTTATGCTTATAAACTAGAAACAATTTTAAACCTTAGAAATCCCAACCTTGTTGAATAATTAATTAGGCTATGTTAGACTGTTGATAAGATTAACTACATAATTTTGATAATATAAGCTCAGGAAAATAATTCTAGTTTGTTTTGCAAAAATCAATTGGAGAATACCGTAAATACTCTATTCATAGCCGGGTCTTGAGCCCAAGTTCGAAGAATTTAATAAGCTTGTCCCTAATTATGGCATTCCTTTAATGTCCGTTTTTAGATGCTTCAAGTTATGCATAACCGAAAAATAATTTACCCCGGTCTCTAATTATACCCGGTTTGAAATTATAGTCGGATTTGTATCGTCTTTAAACCCGGCAATAAATAAAGTCTTTACGGTATGTCCTTTACTATTAACCCCGAATTTTGTAATTACCAGTATTAGTAAATGAGGATAATATATAAATGCTTATTATTATACTCACCTAACAACTTGGATATACTGATTATTATACCAGTTGTATATCATAATGGCGTCATATCCACATTCTGAATGATTTTCCACATCCATTCTGGAGAACATTAAGGTCCTCATGGCAGGCGCGGTTGGATTGATGACAAACAAAGCGTTCTCATTGTCCCGGTACCTGCCGCCACCAATGGGGTAAGAAAAATTGCCAGTGGAGGTTGTGAGCCGGGCGAAGCCTGTAACGTCTTTGGTGACACTTAGAAGGCCGGAGGAGAAGAATTCTAGACGGAATCCTCGCGTTGGAGCGTTCCCTACATTCAACGTGACCAGGATGAAGCCAGATTTGATGGTATAATTTTGGCCGACGCGAGTCCTACATATATTTCCCATATATGTTATTTATTGAAATTAATTTTTACTCGAATTTGCTTTAGGGCCGCCAAATCCGTTACGAATTTTCAAATCTGTATTTCGGATTATCCGGTTTCGTCAGGGCCCAAATCCGGATTTAAATTCGGATTTTAATTATTTATCGTTATTATCAAGTTCCTTGATATTTGAACGAGTTTGATAGATGTCTAATACTTCTTTATCATATTCAATAGAAATTTAAGCTGTTTTGAAATTTTTATCATGGTTTAAAATTTGTTGACCATGTAGTTTCTTGGTATCTTTTTAAGTTGATGGATTAAAAAAATGTGATATTTCTAAAAAGGTGGGTTTTATGTCGAATATGGTAAAATAACTAGCTGGGATGAACAACCTGAACAAACTTTTTTTAAATTGAAGTTTATGACATCTTTCCATCCTCTCATTATTGATAAAATGTTGTGAAACGGTCCAGGAGGAATATTTAGTAAACTTTACAGTTTTTTTAATTTACACTTTTCCCAATTCTTTGCAGTGCGCATGAAAATGAGTTTTAAAATGAAAGAAATCCGGATTCATTCCAAAATGAAATCCGGATTTCGGATAATCCGGATTTTTCGAATTCGAAGTATCCGAATTTGGCAGCCCTACTTGGCTTACTTACATTTGCTGCTGAGTTCCTGGCTGTGAGTTGGCAAAGCTGGTCAAATATAGGCCATCATTTTCGCCAAGGCCAGAGCTGCTCAGTCTGAAACGGCTTGACTCGTAGGGTGGTTTCAATACCCAGACACATCTCTGATCCGCGCGAATAGAAGAGCCAAGTTGGAACTTAATTTCTGCAGAGGATGCAGCAATCCTACCACCACAGGTTGTAACTGTAAACAATTAAAAAGAGTTGATATGATGACGGATAGTAAGGACTAGCCCTGATCTATACTTTCACCATTCGCGACTAAACAACATAGGAGAGATAGGGCACTTTACCCAATCCCAACCAAGTTATTAAGGGGCGAACCGGGCGTAATCTAACAAGGGAACCTCAACCTCTGTCCCATCTCGATTTCCTTCGGAATAACCTCAATGGACAGATAATTTAGTGAAACTAAAACTTTGTTATAGAACATGCGGTGCAAAATCGCGTTTTCGCGAAATATTTGGCGAGAGCCGCACCAAAACCTGAAATTTTCCCAATGCTTTTAACATAGCCACCAGCCTTTACAATGATGAAATGAACTTTATGGAATATTGAAAAATTAAATATGTACCCGTCCGTGTAATTTCAGCCCGATCACGAATATGCAAAAAGTGATGCAAGCATTTGCCAATTTTCTGCAAATTGCGAAAATCGAAAAAATTTCGCAAGTTTGAATTCTTCGTACCCTTAAATTCAACAAAATTTACAAGTTTAACTAATGTAAGCGATATAAAGGCCAGAAGAGTGTATCGCTGCTGGCTGGGTTGGTGGCTTACAAGGGACACTCACGACCTGTCGTTTGAGTCCAGGGTACCCACTATGTTTTTTTCGAATCTACTAGGACCCCAGATGAAGGATTCATTCGTCAAACTCATATTTGGCGACGTGGCGTGGCGCCAAATTCGCCAAAATTGAATGTTTTTATTTTTGAAACCGTCATAACTTTTGAAATCCTGGACGGATTTTCAAAATTTTTGGCAAAAATCATGACAAGGAGTTCAACTTTCTTATTCCATGAAATTTTTAACTTTTCGCAAAATTTCGTAATTTTCTTCGAAATGGGGGTTCGTCGAAAAAATCCTAAAAATATTGCAAAAATTAGAAATTTTTTATTTTTATTTTTTTGTCAAAAATTTCGACTTTTGTGATCATTTTAAGCTTAAAATTTTGAAAATCCGACATAAACTGCAAAAGTTATGAGGATTTGAAGTTGGTCGAAAATGCAAATTTTTAAGTTTGGCGCCACGCCATGGCGCCAAATATGAGTTTTACACGGAAATATGAATGGATCCTTCATCTGGGGTCCTAGTAGATTCAAAAAACATAGTGGGTACCCTGGACTCAAACGACAGGTCGTGAGTGTCCCTTGTTAGTTGAGAAGTTAGCCTCTCCTTTTCTCGCTCCACTCTGCAGAGAAAACAGGAGAGGCTAACTTCACTAATGTTGTCTCAAAGGGCTTATCGACGCCTCGACGGGCCTATTTATTTTGCACGTCGATTGACGGGCTTCTACACTAGTATATTCATAATTTACTGGATTCAACTGGCCATGGATCCTCTTCGGTAGGCACGACTGATCGGCGAATCCAGTCCCCAAAATAAGAAACCTCGGTGTATACGCCGGGAAGATCGCCACAATGGCCCACGGAAAATATTCCGCATAAAGTTTGGCTATCCCCACAAACTAGGGGACCTCCATCGTCTATCGGAATATTTAAAAAGTGAAACGCAATTGTTGTCAATAAATAATAAATACTACGATTTCCTCCAACCTCCAAGACACCCATCTTTATCTCCCCCTCCGTAACAAACCATGGATGGAACTAGGAACCCAAACACATCGCAAGTCGTATCGTCAACTAAGGGCACGTCCACCTTCATCAAGTTGGATGCATATGAGCCCCCTGCTGACAGCATGCCCCAACCAGTAATTGTAGCATAATCTAAGTAGAGATGAATAGAATAAAAGTAAATATATGAGTGGAGAAGGAAAGTAATTTTTTACCTGTTGGAGTAAAGTTTGCCTCTGGAATGACGACGGGCTGGACAAACTCGTTGAATTCGAACGGAGGTGACACCTTCATCAATGCAATGTCGTTCTCGAATTTAGAAGCCCTAAATAATTCAGCTATTTATGTATGTCATATCTAGGTTATAGAGAGTAGGGCATTCAGAATCGGAAAATTATGAAAAACCGGTTTACGATTTTTCCGATTTTGGAAAACTTTTGTAAAACCGGTTTTCGATTTTTCCGATTTTGGAAAACTTTTGTAAAACCGGTTTTCGATTTTTCCGGTTTTTAAAATTTTCGTAAAACCGGTTTTCGATTTTCTCCAAAACCTGTTTTGTCCAAGATTTTAAAAATGTGGTAAATAGGTGTAATGTGGTAAAATTTAAAGTTTAACAAACTTCGGTCATTAATTTGGAGAAAAATATTTCAGAACAATTTATTTTTGCACAAAAAAACAAGAAATGACCTATATTTTGTAGTTCTAAAACAATTTTTATCAAAAATCTAAAACCGATGTTCGTGTGTAATAAAACCGGTTTTCTACGAGACCGTTTTTTTAAAATTATAAAACTGGTTTTCGGGTATATCGAAAACCGGTTTTCAAAATCGTAAAAACCGGTTTTGGATGCCCTAATTGAGAGTGTAGATTTATACTTACGACTCGGATTCATAATTCGGATGAATCACAATCTGTACGACTTCTCGGGTTTGTTCGGTGCCTTCAACCACATCGATGTTGTGATCTCCAGCGGTGATTTTGTAACCGCTTAGTGGCCACGTGGCACAGTTTGCCGCAGTAATAATCCAGTCTGGACTGATAACTGCACCTCCGCAGAAGCCCCTGCCGATTATTCGCATATCGACCATGACCATAAACTTGAACTCGTGCGGGTCAGTTTGCATCAATTTCTTACAAATAAATATTGAAGAAACTTTAACCACTCACACAGGCCTTGGGTGTGGTCGGAGAGCATAAGTGATAAGGACTAAAGTTGAAGCTCTTGAGATTATCTTTCGAATGACATCATTTTTGAGGGGGGTAAAGAGGACACATTTGTCGTCCATATGACCTGTGACCTTCAAGGTCATGACCTGGGACCTTACACCAACTTTTTCTTACAAGATCGTATTTTATATAATTTTTGGAAGCAACTTCAAAAATACTAACCCTTATGATTGCTCCCACGTGGGGTTTGAGTCATGTAGTACATGAACGACCAAAATTTGGGGGCTGCTTCGTTGCATTACGGCAGAGTCCCGCAAAGGCGCTGATGTATCCATTTTGAAAGCCTGGTACTCAAAATAAAACTATTTAAGTTTTGAAATTAAGTCCTCACACTGTTAGGACCATTACAATAATTTTATACGTCTAAAAACCTCGATGCTGGAAGGATATATGGGTATCTATTTTATAAAATAAATCCATGCCCGAGATAACACTTTGGTGGGATTAGCCATCACGCACAGATAAGCGTTTATCATTTATTTGTTCCTCTCACATTTCTGTGCAATCGGTCATTATTAATCGACTTCCCATTAAGTACGTATACCCATGAAACAAGCCAAAATCTTGTACATAAACTGTTTTTTTTATAAACGAAACATTTCCTAAAAATTTGATCAGGTACCGAACTAAATCATTAAAATTTTGATAAAACAATTAACGAAGTGATTCACTGGGCAGGATGTGTCGTACCAAAATGCAGGATATCATTCACCCACATTAAAACTATTCTTTACAAGAAGATCCGACATATTCTGATGAGGACGATTTCGAGGAGGAGGACGATTTCATTCTTATTAAACCAGCTGATTCTCCCTCAGTACATATAGCCTTCCGTGTGTTCACTGCGATCTTCTTGAGTTGCTTCTATTGCTATATCGTAGTTCCCTTGGTCCTCTGTTTGGGCAATTTTATAGCCGAGATTTATGATGGCATACTTTACTCAAATTTGGCTATATATGATCCCTCAGGTAATTCGGTTATGACGTTGTTAGTAATTTCTAGCGGATTGTTTTTGATTCTTGTCATCGCGCACAACGTTTTATATTTGGCTTTCCTGCGCGGGGACGAAGACCCCGTCAGGTTGCCTGAATTGTTTAAGATTTTATTGATACTGTGGATATCAGTAATCTTGATTGGTAGTTGTCTTCTCTTAAATTTGATATATTCAGATCGACGAAGGGATATCGGATACAAATTTGAGTAAGGCTTTCTTACCGAATATAAACAGAAGGATTTGTCTGATTTTCTAATCTTGTTTGAAAATAAATAATTAATTAGGTAGAAGTTATGTATGTACCTACATATGTATAGCATAATCACATTCGATATAAATATATGTATCATGCATGCATATATTTTATATCGTAAGAGTGAAGATTATGTATGTCAAAATTATCTACCAATTCCATCCATTTCTTTCACTTATGGATTACAGGTCGAGCTACATACATACTTCTAACGTTATTACGTAAACATAATAAAGTATCTTTATCTAGTATCTTGAATTTTTTCCAAAAGTATCTTTATCTTTAAATTGTGACTTTGGCTACATTTACGGGAGGAAAATAGGGAACCAGATCAGCTCAAATAAACAAAAAGAACCACCCTCTAAAATTGGGATATATCAAATTCCATGAGACTGCAATTCCTCATATATCGGAGAGATATCACGTCCCATGGAGGAAAGGATAAAAGAACACGACCGAGATTTAACAAAGACAAATGTTAAATCTGAGATTGCAACACACATAATTGAAAATACTGGTCACAGGTTTCAAATAGAGTCAGCAACTCTCATTCATCGGGAAGAACGATATTTCCACATGAAATTCAAGGAGGGATTACTAATCAGAAACACCAGGAACATAATAAATAAAGATTTAGGCATATAAATAAACCCAATTTGGACATCGCTACTCCTGCCCCTAGCGCCAACGTTTATACGGCCAACTACAAGCCCGGTTACCCAGCGACCCCAATGATGTCAACAACTTTTCAACTCGTCTGATTTTGAAAATATTATCTTTCATGAAATTAGTTTCTTGTACACTTTTGCACAGGAAGAAGGGGGCAGTTGAACCCTGAAAGCTTGTGAATAAAGAACTTCAAAAATGTTTGTACATACATACATAGTGAAGTTATAAATATATTTCTCGTATTAAATAAAAAACTAAACACGAGTAGAGCTTGATAAGTGAATGTCCAAAGTTTGATGATGCCATTAAACTCTACATACCACTGAAGTGAATACGGAAATATGCATGTATGTATATATGTCGTACATACTAAAATATGTTCGCTAAATAAGTATAAAGTTATAATGGAGGTCTCCCAACGTATGCTCACAGATTTTAACCAAACTAGCGTCAATCGATCACAAATATAATTAGTATGAAATTTGCAAATGGAACTATCTCCCAATGTGCAGGTTTGGCGGAGATATTTGAATCCAAAGCGGGAAAAATGCGCCGCAAATTTGGAAAATGAAAAGTTTGGCAGCCTCGGGAGTGCGTTTTCTCCTCTTTTTATGCAAATATCTCCGCCAAACATGCGCATTGGCAGATATTGCCATTTGCAAATTTCATAGTATTGATATTTGTGATCGATTGACGCTAGTTTGGTTAAAATCTGTGAGCATACGTTGGGAGACCTCCATTATAACTTTATACTTATTTAGCGAACATATTTTAGTATGCACGACATATATACACATATGCATATTTCCGTATTCAATTCAGTGGTATGTAGAGTTTAATGGCATCATCAAACTTTGGACATTCACTTATCAAGCTCTACTCGTGTTTAGTTTTTTATTTAATGCAAGAAATATATTTATAACTTCACTATGTATGTATGTACAAACCAAGTAACTATGCGCGAAATTTTCCGCTGGACTCTGTCGTTTCGTCAGGCCAGCACAAACAACGCAATTTGAGACGAATGATTTAAACAGGTTAGTGTCGTGTCTACTATGCTCGGTACATATGTAGCATGCCAAAGCAGCATGAACATCAAGTCTTGGCTTATCTTTAATTTACTTGTGACAACGTATTAAGAAACATCGTCTTGGAAGCTGTACATATGTGCTTACCTATGTTCATATTTTATATTTATGTATATATGTGTTTTATAAATGTACCCATTCATTGATGATAATATGTATGTATGTAGTCAGGCGGTATTTACACAAATACGAGTAGATAACAGTGGCCGCAGAAGATTGATAATTTTGACCGTGGGGATATGTTTGTATATTAAACAAACAACGTGCGAAAACTTTATTTATTTTGTTACATATCTTTATGCTTAAAAATATGTACATCTTATAAAAAGCAATGCTCGGAAAACAAACTCTTAACAGTGTACATAGCGTGAAACTTCAAAAATGCATAATTTTCATGAAAATTCAGAGTTCTGCCCCCATGGATATTGGATGTTGGATGAATATTGGATGTTGTAGGAAAAGAATTGTTTATGCATTTTTTAGCATGACGCACGAATTTATTCCAATTTGTTCAAGTTAAATCATCAATCATTCAATCATTTAATCATTAATTTAATTTAAATCATTAATTCAATTTTACCATTTAATTTAAAAATCTAAACAATATAAAGCAGGCGAGTGTATCGCTGCTGGCTGGCTGGGTCGGTGGCATAGTTGAGAAGTTAGCCTCTCCTTTTCTCTCTCCACCCTGCAGACAGAGCAGGAGAGGCTAACTTCACTAATGTTGGAGTAAGGGGCTTATCGACGGGCCTATTTTGCACGTCGATTGACGGGCTTCTACACTAATCTATATTATAATTTCGAAAAGTCCGTCCCGTGAAATTTCCCGTGATATTCCTGCATTCTGATTGGTTGTTGCCTTTATTGCTCCACCAATCAGAGAAGTGATATGAATTCATCATTCTGATTATGAATATGATTATGAATATGAATATGATTATGAATATGATTGCCAAAATTCCTCAGCGACGTAAAAAAATTTCCTTAGCAACATAAAAATTCTGCTTAGCAACATAAAATATTTCCTTATCAACATAAAAAATTGTTTAGCAACATAAAAAAATTTCCTTGGCAAAATAAAAAAATTTTTTAACATTTAAAAAAAAATCTCCTTAGCAACATAAAAAGATTTCCTTAACAACATAAGAAAATTTCGTTAGCAACATAAAAAAATTCTCCTTAGCAACATACAAATATTTCCTTAGCAAAATAGAAAAATTTCCTTAGCAACATAAAAAATTCCCTCAGCAAAGTAAGTTGGTAAGTAACTTGGTAAGGGAATTTTCTTACGTTGCAACGTAAGAAAATTCCATTAGCAATGTTAAAAATTTCGTGTGGCCCGTCGTCAGGACGGGCTTATAGGCTAGTTTAATATATTTAGGCGACGCACATTGTAATATTAGGCCAGGTCAAGTCCCAAAAGTCCTAGGGGGCGTAACTATGTATATGTATACATATTTGTAATTCATGGGAGGCAGGGAAAACACTTTTAAAAAATTTGGGGACCACACCCCCTGTGGGGGTGGTTAGCCCCCCAGGGGGTGTGGCCCCAAAATGTTTATATTTTTACAATCAGCAACTCATATGGACTTTAGGTGCAAAATTTTGTGGACTTAAAAAACTATCTTACCAAAATATACCATTTTATATGCCAAAAAACATGGGTTTTCGGGCAACTTTGAGGGGGGGTGGCGCATTCGGTCGGGACTTCCCGACCTAGTTCTTCCGGTTCCTGATAGTCATAGTGGAGTTCTATAGGCACCATAAAAAAGTCCGTCGGGAACCACCGACCAAGGAAGTTATTAGGTGTCAAACTTCTCAAAAACCTGTTCTGCGATTTTACAGAAAACGACAGTTGCTGTCAACGTTTAAGAGTTTGAGTCGCATATATAAATTTTCTAAGTATGTGCAAGCTTAAGAAACTCATCAATTTACTTAAATTCATCAAAGTCTTGCATCACCCCAAAACCTTTGGAAACAGTTTGTTACCATTTCAGTGTGCAGGAAATAATTTTAAGCGTCATTTTGTTTAATTAAAAACACATAGATAAAGGTTTCGCATTTATTTTCTCCCCAGTAAGTTTTCACTTCCCGCGCGGAGACAAATTCAGCTGCTAGTTTGCTAGTTTTAAATAGTTTGCTAGTTTTAAATAGTTTGCTATTTAAAAAATGTTTAAGTGCTGCAGAACTAAACTTCTTATCAGGGTTCTATGATCGAGCTATGGTGTTGAACTTCTCAT